TATATATATATATATATATATACCAAATTCATTCATCTGCCATTGGAAATTTAGGTTGTTTATCTATCTTGACTATTGTACTAAGATTTACAATGAACACAAGTGTGCATATATATTTTCAAATCAATGTTTTTTGTTTGGAGGTAGATAGATACCAAGACATGCAAGATGTGAAATCACTGGGTCATATGGATGTTCTCTACTTACTTTGATAAATTTCCATATTATTTCTCACAGAGGCTGAAACAAACAAAATTCCTACCAATGGTGAATAACGTTCCTTTATCACTACATTCCTGCCAACACTAATTATTTCTGGCCTTCTTTATATATTTTCTTCTTTATATATGCTATTCTTACTGGTGTGAGATGTTAAGTAAAGATAAACATTTTTTTCTTGTGCCTATTGGACATCCCCATGTCCCTCTCCTCAACCCATTTTATGATGGCATTACTATATTTCTTTTGTTACTCAGCTTGGATAGTACTTTACATATTTTGTATATTAGCCCTTTATCAGATATATTATTTGCCAATATGTTCTCCCATTCAGTAGGGTGTCTTCATTTAGAGGTGGATTGGGACCACACTTGACAGTGCTCAGAGCTTACTCCTGGCTCTGCACTTAGGTATCACTCCTGGTGGGCTCAGTGCACCACATGTGGTGCCAGGGATCGAACACAGGTTGGTTGTATTAAAAATAAGCACCATACCCACTATACTATCACTCCATGCCCCAGTGTCTTAATTTTTAATCCAACTTTCTTTTGTCATGTAAAACCTTTTTAATTTGATCAAGTCTCATTTACTTTGTTGTTATTCTTGTCTTTGCCAATGGAATAAAAACATACACATTAAAAATATCTCTAAATTCCATATCCTAGGGAATCATGTGAAGATTTTGCTTACTATACTTATCACTTGTTGTCAAATCTAGAGATTCTTAATGCACATTGAATTAATTTCTGTGTACTGTATAAAATATTTACCCAATCTCTTTCTTTAATTTTTTTCTTTTTCATGTGGCTATCCAGTTTTCCCAGAATCTTGGAAAGGCTTCCATTGAAGAAGCTTTCATTTCTCCACTTCATGCTCCTAGCCTCTTTGTCATAGATTAACTGTCTATAAATCTGAGGGTTTATCTCTGGGCTCCCTATTGTATTCTAGTGGTCTGAGAGACTATCAATAAATTGCATCATACCATTTAAATTACCATTTAAATTGTACCATACTAGTACCATTTTGATTACATTTTGATTATACTTTAAGCATTTTAACTTATGCATTTGTTTTTCCTTTGAGGTTTCATAGTTATTGTTTATACTTGTAGTGTTGCTATACCAATCCCTCTACTCATGAGGTGTGGAGGAAACAATAACAGTTTTATATTTATATGTGAAAATGTAATAAATCTATTTATATGTCTTTGTCCTATCTTCAAAAAATATGAAGAGGTATTTTACGTAACTGGATTTTTGTTCTACGTTTTATATAACCTCACAATGTCCAACATAGTGTGATCTGTATATAGTAGTTACTAATGAAATGTTCTTATTGGTAGTGCTGGTGGTGTTGCTGTTGTTTTTACATTAACCCCACCTGATGAGGGTGAGCTCTTCATATTAACCATCCAGGACTCTATAGAAATTCTGTTCTCTTCTCTCATATATCCCCTTAATTTCAGCTCCCTGTGATTTCCATAATCTTCCCTTCACTTTAACCTTCTTCCACTCAGCTGTCCTGCTCCTTCCAGTTCTAAGCGTGATGTGAGGCCAATCACTGCATTCTCATCCTAGAATGTGTACGCTCTGCGATTAATGCTAGGGATATGATTAAGAGTGAAACACTTTTCTCATCTTCTGGGCACTTGTAGTCTAGTAGGAAACATGTAAATTTGAAGAGAACAAGATAATATAATAAGTGACAGAAATTGTTATACATGAGGCCCTCCCGTTGATCATCGATTTGCTCGAGCGGGCCCAGTAACGTCTCCATTGGAGACTTTGTTGTTACTGTGTCTGGCATATCAAATACTCTCGGTATACATGAGTAATAACAATAAATGTAATAAGTACTGTCATTGAGATAGGTAAAATGTTGTATGAAAGAAAAGGAAGGTCAAGTAAATCATGTCTTGCTGGGGTGGGCTGAGGGAAAATTCTCAGCAGCAATGATGGACTGTTTTCAAATGGCTAAGAAAAGAGGAAAAAGAATATAGGACAGAATAAATATGTCTGGAGATAGCACGAGGTTTAAGGCAGTTTTCTCTGCATATGTTATATCCTAATTCACTCTCTGCCTTTACATGGTCCCCCTCCGGAGAGCTGGGATTAGGCTAGCACCGGGGTATGGCCCAACATCCCCCACCCCACCATAAAAGAATAAATATGTCTGTGGAAAGGAACCAAGATGTGAAATGAATACCAGAAAACAGTTTGATCAGAATGAGGAAATCACAGAGTGAATGTTTAAAACTAGGCTGGGGACATACCAGGAGTATCCTTACCCGGCAGGCTCTGTTAAGAACTTGGACTGTAGTCTATCAAGAGAAAACCAGTGAAGTAGTTTTGTTTTGTTTTTTAAAAACCTGAGATTTACTCTCTCTTTCTCTCTCTTTCCTCATCTTCCTCTCTCCCTTCTTCTCTGTCTCCTTTTCTTATCTCTCCCACTCTCCTCTTCTCTTTTCCTCTCTCTCCATTTATTGCCTGTTTCTTACACTCATATCTCTCACACAAATACACTTACTAAATTCAATATTTCATAACACATAAGTTGAGTCAAATCTTGTATTTTATTCCAAAGACCTCACAATCTGACCCTATTTTCTCCCACCATCCTGAAACCCTCATGCTGCCCACCTGTACCCCTCTGACTTATCAGTGAGTTCTTGTTTATTTCACTTCCTCTGCCTGTGAACACATTATGGCAGACCTCTTCCTTACGGTATATATTACACTTTTAAAAACTGGTTCTTTTATTATTTTCTACTTTATTTCACCCTTCTTTCTCTTACTAATCATAAACCCTCTATAATCTGTAGAGTTAGTTCCATAAAATCATGAATCACACTGTTCTTACCACTGTATCTATCTCAATTCTTAGCTTGTCACTTATGCCCAGCGAAGTTTAGTTCCCTGAAAGCACTGTCATTAAGAATATTTTTGTTAAATATCCAACTCCTCTATACAATAAAAGCAAGTTTTTTGTTCTATTTTGTTCACTGATGCCTGATGACTACTTGCACATGTGGCATATAATAAATGCTCAAAAATATGTGTTAATTATGGTTGAAGATGTCAGGGATTTTCGCTTGTCTTACTCCTCACTATATCCACCATCCTTATATAAGAAGAGGCTTGATGGGGCTGGAGTGATCATACAGTGGGTATGGCATTTACCTTGCATGCAGCCAATCCGGGTTCGATCCTCAGCATCCCATATGATCCCCTAAGCACTTCCTGGAGTAATTCCTGAGTGCAAAGCTAGGAAAAATCCTTGAGAATTGCTGGGTGTGACCCAAAAAGAAAAAAAGAGGCTTCATAGATGTATTGAATGAATGAGGCCAAGATCTTTTGGGGTTTTTTCTCTTTCATTATTTTGTTTGGCCAGGCCAGACCTGGAAGTGATGCTCAGAGCTTATTCTGGCTCTGTGAGCAGGAGTTGCTCCTGAAGGTGCTCAGGGAATCATATGCACTGCCTAGGATGAAACCATACTTTCTGTACTATCTCTCCAGCCCCTTCTTTTATATATATAGTCCACACCAATCGTGATTTTAGGGCCATTTCATGCCAGAACTTGAATCCAAGCTTAGCATATGCTACATACTTGCTCTACCACTTTGAGGTGTCACCCTGACTCTCTTCTTTACAACAATTTACCACTTAATACTTCTTTCCAGTGCTGAAAGCAGGCTAGACAACATATTTTAGTGATTGGTGAATTGGAAAATAAAGCAGATTCATGCTTTTCACTGAAATGTTATTATGGTAAGGACAATTTTCATCTTCATGACCAAATAAAGGTTACCAATTTGAACACAGCTTACCATTTTTTTCTACAATTGGTGCTTTTTTAAGGCTGGATAGATCAACTAAGAGAAGGAAGAATGTAATGAGTTGATCTACATTGCAGTAGAATAGTCTCATAACCAGACCTTAAAATGAAGAAAGCTGACTTAGTGAATAGAAACATATCCCTCCATCAGAAACTACTGGGGAAAAGCTTACAACTGGCTATAAATTTCATGTGTACATATCACCTACATTTATTTAAACAGTCTTCTGCTAAAGCCTTTCTAAGCATACTATCCCTCAACTCATTTTTTAAATTAAGTCACTATGAGATACATACAGTTACAGAGCTGTTTCAGTCCTACAATGTTCCAACACTGTCCCTTCACCATTCTACATTTTCCATTACCAATGACCCCAGTTTCCCTCATGTCACCCCACCCCAACCCCCAGCCTGTCTCTATCATTCTTCAACTTTTATTACAAAAATCTATCTTGATTCTTCAGGCAAATTGTGGTAATTTTTGTAAACAATGTTATCAGAAACTGAAGTCCACAGAAGTTAGATCATCAGTAAGAAGATTTCATAAGTGTGTCTGATCCAGTACCACATGGAGAGCACAGCAACTTGGGCAGAGATAATGGAAATCTCCAGGGAATGGCAAACTCAGAGGCACTCTCCTCCAGGCTTTAAAGTCTGTGAAATTTCTTTTCATTCACTTCTGGAGTCATGCTGACTCATACAAAAAGTAAAGGAGGCTTCAGTGTACTGCATTTCTGGGGGCCCTTTAACCAGTCTCTGTTAGTCATTACTATATTCATAGGCACAGGGCCAGTGCCATTCACACTTTTCCCTCTTCTGCAGTAGGCAGACTGAGTTCCTCTAATCCTTGTGTTCTTTTTTTCCCCTCATTTCTCTAAAACCCTCTTTGAGGGAAAAACAGCTATAGCTTTGGGGATAATATAGCTTTAAGGAAACTTTTGGCAGCTGTGGACATCTGGGCAGTGTTAACCGAATCCCAGAGGCCCGGACAGACCAGGAGCCACTCATCTAGGAATGTTAAAGTTTTTCCAACTGATGAGAGGAACAGAAAGGAAGGAGGAAGAGAGACAAGAAGAGAGAAAGAGTGCACCGAAACACACAAAACAGGTAAGATCTGCTACTTAACCCCTTCATACTCTGCTACTAATTGTCCTACCATGGGAGGTGAGAGTAAGGAGAACTAGACTTTAGGCAACACTTGGAGGGGTGGGATGACATGAGGAAGATGTTCTTTTATAAAACTGGATCATATACTGCTTTACACATGAGCCTGGCCAGATTGTACGCATGGGTTCTCACTATATTCCTGGTCTGCACCAGAGGAGTGGCTGACTCCACTATGAGATTAGGGAGGAAGTGGTTATGGAAAGGTCTCCAACTTAGCACTAATTCTGAAAAGGAAAGTCCTTGCTCCAAAACCACGGGGACTGAGACTAGAAGCGAACAGACATCATTGATTATTTTTTTATCTAGCTGTTTATTTTCCTGACATTTCTTTAATCTCTTTTTTAATCATTTCATATCCTCTTTCTACTTTTTTCAGTTCATAGAGATTTTCTTTTCTTTCTACCTTCCTTCCTACATCTTTCTACTTTCCTTGCTTCCCAGGCTTACTATCTGTTTACTCTATCCTGCTTCCCTATTACTCTAAATATAACATAAAGCCAAATAGCAATCAACTGGAAAACAACTTTTTGCCATTGTTACAGTCTCACATCTGTTAGGGTGGCTGGCAGAATCTGAAACATGTCACTTGAGGGGGCTGGGGATAGGACAAGGAGGGGGCACTCCTATAAGGGAGGGAAGCACTCAACCAGGAGGAGGAGGTGGTATTGAAAGGTGGTAAGATGTTATGTATGAAACCCAATCAGCAATAGTACTGTAAGCCACAGTGAAAAAACTTTTTGAAAAGTGCCTCTCACCTTCCAGTATGCTTCTATGAAATGGGGGAGGACTTGGTGGCAAGAAGTATACACTGGTGAAGGGATCAGTGTTGAAACACTGTATGCCTGAAACCAATTCAAGAATAGCTTTGTACTTTCATGGTGACTAAATTTTAAAAAGAAAGAATCAGCCATATTTTTTGTTTCTCCATTTTGAGGATTGATGCCTCCCCCAAAGCATGCATTTAATTGAAGGCATGTGAATGAATGGGTATTTGTTGAAAGGCTCAGTTTGTACCAATGGGAAGAAAGTTTGATTGCTGTCAATTACAAACCATTTGCTTGCGGGGTTGGAGTGACAGTACAGTGGGTAGGGCATTTGCCTTGCACACGACTGACCCAGGTTCAATTCCCAGCATCCCATGTGGTCTCCCAAGCACCACCAGGAGTAATTCCTGAGTAAAGAGCCAGGAGTAACTCCTGAGCATCACTGGTGTGACCCAAAGAGGAAAAAAAGCATTTGCTTGCTGCAGGACCACAAAATTCTCATCTCAATGGAGTGAGGGCATAATACAAAGTGCAGTCAATTGGAGTTTGCACACCTTCTCCTCACTTATCAAATTAAGTTCTTTCCAATCTCACTGACTTCCTGCAGGATCATCATGGTAAAATTAGTAGGTAAGGCTTGACTTGAAAGTCATACGTCACCACCAAACCACTAAACCTCTGAATTCAAAGAACAGAATCAGGGTACAGTTATTGCTTGAAAGACTGGAAAAGGAGGAATCCAGTTATGTTCAACAAAAAGTTGTTTATTATATCGAATGTATATTGATATTTATTATATGAATGTATATTATATGAATGTATATTATATATGTGGCAGGCAGTAATATATTTATACTAATGTAGATATTGTTTGTCTCATTTTGTAAATTATAAAACGAAGGTGGGGGAATGAAGGGATTTGTCCAAGACTCCCTACATAAACTTAGGGTATAATTATATATACATCAGATCTGTGTAACTCCAGAGTTCATGCTTTTAATCCATTCACACTAATGCTTTCCCAGATTAGGGATTAGAAAATAGTTAAATGAAAAAAAAGAAAATAGTTAAATGAATTAAATCATCAACTGGCAACCTGTCAAACACAGAATCCCCTTTTAACTTCATAGGAATTTATCTATGTGTTTTCCTAATGTTGGTACCTTAATGTCCCTCTCTATAAACTGGACCAAATAATATTTGCATCTGACCTCATTAAAGTCTAATGAGAAACTTTCGTTTGTTTGGGACCTACACCCAGTGGTACTCAAAAGTTTCTCCTGGCAGTGTTAGAGGGTCCATGAGTCGCTGTGGATTGAATCTGAGCCTCCTATAGGCAAAGCATGCATTCCAACCCTCTGAGTTATTTCCCTCAATAGAAAACTTAATGTTTTACACTCTCCGTGTCCCAGGAGTAAAAGGGACCATTAACAACAAATAGAATCTTGTTATTCTATAAATTAGGAGATAGTTATGAGCTGGGCATTATAATAGGAACTCATTAATTTTAAGATCTCTTTTTCCTTGCAGATCTTGCACTTCCCTTTACTCTTCAAAGTTCATTGATGGCTTATTTTTGAAAGTTATTTTCCATTTCCCTGGTACTTCTGCCACATATTCTTGTCTCAACCCCCTGATACCACAACCACACCTTTCAACAATGGCAAGTCAACTAACTCAAAGAGGAGCTCTATATCTGCTGCTATTCCTTATTCCTGTAGTGACACCAACATGGTATGCAGGTAAGTTCCAGAGCTATGCCTTCAAATATTTTCCTGTCTGCCAAGGAGAACAAAACCTAGACCAACTCCTGGAGGATGCAAAAGTTAGACTGCAATAAAAGATACTTCAATTAGATACTAGGAATGACTATTCTTAATAATAAAGTTGGTTAATGATTACAGTCAAGGATGGAGAAGGTAGAATGCTTGCTTTGCATGCAGTCAATGCATATTTGATCCCTGGCACTACATATGGTCCTCGGAGCCCCACTAGGAGTGATTACTAAGTTCATAGTCAAGAGTAAACCCTAAGCACCAGGTGTGGCCCCCAAACAAACAAAAATTGTAACAGGCTGCCAAGGGAGATTTTGGGGCAAAGAAAAGATACTAGAGAAATAAAGTATAACAGCATGGGAAAAATTATAAGACAATATATACTTTGATATATAGCCACTGTTTCACTTGCTTCTGAGCTTAGTATCTGAAAACCATTTTTGAATATTTATTACTTTATGGGTTCAATCTTAATACCCTTATCAAGACAACAAAAATACCGAGGGCAGGAGAGAGAGAGATAGAGAGAGAGAGGTGTCTGCCACAGAGCTGGGGTGTGGGGTGGGAGGGAAACTGGGGACACTGGCAGTGGAAAATGTACACTGGTGAAGGGACAGTCATTATATGACTGAAACCTAATCATGAAAAACTTTGTAACTAAAAAAGGGTGAGAGGAATACAAAACTTAGATCTGTCCTACTTGGAAAAATATGGGAGACAGGTAATCTTTTTAAGGAGTTCTTAAAACTACCTCTCTCTCTTTCTCCACCCTTTTCCTCTCTCTCTTTTCCCCAAGATATTTATAGGATAAGATTTTTATAGCCCATCTCCACAAAAAATGATAATGGCAATACAGAAATACAGATCACGTTCTTTTAAACAAGATCTCTGGCTTGTTCCTTACTTCAGAACAGATGGAGATTTCTATTTCCTGAATGTTTCATTCTTTGCCCCTGGAGACACAGGAAGCCAAAGAGAACAGTTTTGGTGAGGAGAGAGGATAGGGAGAAGAAGGAATACAGGAAGGACAATGAGGTGGCAAATAGAGGTTTTTTATGGGGTCCAGCTGGCATTTCAATTGCTAAGAATATTCTGTGGCCTGCATAATCTGTTCCCACAGAGGATGGGGAGAGTAGGGGACAGAGACAGACCCAACCAGTGGATCTAGGAAGATATCCAGATGAGTAAATAACAAGCTACTGCCATCACAGCCACAGTCATTGCAGCTAAAATTTTCCATATGCCATTAGCTTCTAGTGAAGGTCTTTTGGCAGTAGGTCTGTTTATCTGGAACAGCTGTATCAAGCTTCCAAACAAATATGCAAGCTTCTTCCCGAACTCTTTGGCTTAACACGACTCTGTAGGGGGTGACACACAAGGGCTGACATTGAGATGAAGAAATTAAAGCCAGGCCCTTGGCAGATTACACACTGTTCAGGGTTAAAGGAGCCCCAGGTCTCCAGGAAACAGCATGTATATTGTCCTCCCCGAATTTCCCCAGCTTCAGTTCAAATATATAAGCTCAAATTCTGGTCAAAACCCACAGGACTAGGTAGTGGAGATTACTTGACTTAAAATTGAATTTAAACAAATGTGAAAAACTTCATGGCATTCAAAAGCCGTTATCTTTCCCTGAATGGAAGTCTGAGTTATGAAATCTTGAAGACAGAGCAATATTTTAAAATCCTAGATTCACATGAGGCTTTCGAAGGGCTTTTTGCGAAGGTGGCATTCTACACTTCAACAAGAATCACCAAGGTCACCACTTCTAGGCAGCAGAAGCTAGGGAGGTCTCTGATAGTCCTGAAAACCCACTCATCTTGCCCGCTTCTATTTTTAGGAATCTTCAAGACTGAGAAATAAGGGACTTTTCCTTTAATTTTCCCATACATTTCTAATTCAGCTATCTAAGGATAGTTTGTTCATCCGTTAACTCATTCATCCAACAAATACTTATTGACCAGTCTATATATCCACCAATTTGAAAAAAAATTGGGGGCCATACCCAGCTGCACTTAGGGCCTATTCCTGGCTCTGTGCTCAGGGATCACTCCAGTGGTGCTGAATGGATCATATGGGACGTCAAGGATTGAATCCTGGTTGGCCCCACACGAGGCAGATGCCCTACCCACTATTTTTGTTTATAGTTAGCCTTGTCTTAAATGGGAACAGAACAAAGATAGCAACAAAGTGCAAATTTAAAGATAATGGGGAAAAGGGTCCAGGGGTAATAAGCATGGGTTGGGAAAGGTTAATCACTGTCACTGTCATTTTCCACCCATTGTTCATCGATTTGCTCAAGCGGGCCCAGTAACGTCTTCATTGTGACAATTGTTACTGTGTTTGGCATATCGAGTACATCACGGGTAGCTTGCCAGGCTTTGCCGTGCTGGCGAGATACTCTCGGTAGCTTGTCGAGCTCTCCAAGAGGGGTGGAGGAATCGAACTCAGGTCGGCCATGTTGGCCGCTTGCAAGGCAAACGCCCTACCCACTATGCTATCGTTCCAGCCCTCAGGAAAGGTTAATAATATAAGTAAAACATAGTTGGTTGAAAGTGTATATTAACAGAGCCTAAACAATAGTATTTAGCAGGGAGCTTGCTTTGCATGTCGCTGACCCCTGTTCAGTCCTTGGAACCCCATACATATGGCCCCAGCAGGAGTCATCCCAAACCGAGGAGTAAGCCCTGAGCACCATCAGGTGTGGTCCAAAAGCTCCCCAAAAGTGTGTATTAACATTTTTTCACAGTTCAGGAACTCAGATTGTACTTGTCATCATGAAATAAGTATTATAGTGTTATATCATCATATATAATATATGTAATAAATCATACAGCATTTCCAATTTTGTGAGGTGAAGATCTTACAGGTATGACTGCTATGGAAATTAGAGGAACTCAGTAATGACCTCACACTGATTAAAGGAACTGAGGAATACTGCCCAAACATCTCCCCCACAAACCCAAGAGGAACTCAAGAGGGTCAAGCCAATAGTACAATTCTAGAAAGCTACCGAGAGTATCTCGCCCGCACAGCAGAGCCTGGCAAGCTCCCCGTGATGTATTTGATATGCCAAACACAGTAACAACAAAGTCTCCAATGGAGACGTTACTGGGCCCGCTCGAGCAAATCGAGGAACAACGGGAGGGCCTTTACTTTTACTTTTACTTTAGAAAGGTTGTCCATCTAGTGTTACTTTTATACATCATCTCAGTATCCTATTATTTGAAAAAAATACCCCAATACAAAGAGGGGAAATAAGGAGGCTTAAAGTAGTAAGGTAACCAAGTCCATACCTGTTATTAGGCAAAACTGGCACTACAACTGCCTTCGCATGTGGTTGTCAATGGTAATTATATAACTGAATCTTCCCTTCAACTTTCTCACCTCTCCTATAATCTTTATAAATCCAGATGGCCTTTGATCTCTCTCTCTCCCCATATTGCCCACCTCCTCTCTCACATACACACAGTAAAAAAGCTGAGCTGCAAGAAAGATTCTGGATTTTAATCCCTACTGCCATCTTTAGTGAAGTATCTGAGTTTAGTTGGTATCAAGGGGTTAAATAATCCTGGACTGGAATGCTTACGCTGCTCCTTACTATCTGGGAGACTTTGAGCTATACCCAGACCTCCCAACTTGTTATCCTGATCTGAACAATAGACAGCAATAAGGGAATCTACCTCTGTGATGTCAGGGTCCATAATGAAATAACATATGTAACGGGCTGAACATAGAGCACATGTTGGGTGATGGATGCTAGCAGTCAGTAATGTTTGTTGCTGCTGTTATTCAGTCATAGACCCTTCATACCCCTATGTGTTACTATGGTAAACAGAGGCTTACTATTGCCAGATTTCTTCTCAAGCAAGCTCTGTAACAAGAGTATTAGGGCCAAATACTTGAAGGAATCACAGATATTTGACCTCATTACAGGAGTTTTAAGGCTCTGAGGCTGATACTAAACTGAAACAGCTGAGGAGAATCGCCCCCCACCCACATACACACACATGCACAAAGAAAGCTCCCATATGGAAGAAAGAGAATAAAGAAGATGAGGCCTAAGAGAAATAGAGGGGGCTGGAGAGAAAATTCAGTGAGCACGGTGCTTTTCTTGCATGCAAGCTGACCCAGGTTCCATCTCCAGCACCCCAAAGGATCCCCTGATCACAATCACTGCTAGGTTAACCCCTAGCTGGTTGTGCACCCCCACAATCTCTGCTGCTGAAAAAAAGAATAAAGGGAAATCAGGAGAAGAACTAATTGGGATAAAAAAAGAAATTTCAAAAAGGAAAAAGGAAAAATGAACTTCTGCTTCTGGAATGAGGATAAACCAAGCAGGACATGATTTCATAAGTCAAACCTTCAATTTGATTCATTCTCTTGTTCATCAAGTTGGACTGGTTTTCCACCGTCACTCCCAACCCTCAGGAGGGGCTTGTGGGAAATGAAGGAGCTTCATCAGCTAACCCTCTACTCCACCCTTTTGTAGAGGGGGCCCTGTGCCTCTCCCCTGGGAAGAAGCGTGCTGGTTTGTGGTCTGAGTGTTTACACAAGCTAAAAGGCTCCAGAACTAAAACACTCCTGGAAGTTCACCCGCCCCTGGAAATGAAGAATTGTCTTCTGATTCTGACATGGTTGGCGGCTGTGTTCCTGTGCGTGCATGAGGGCTTCCGAAAAACTTGCTCCGGAAAGAACCTAGTTGTTTTCCAATTAGTTCGTGCTCATAACTGATTTCCTGCCGTCTGGTGGAACACATTGTTTAGTCTCCTAGACAGCCGCAGACCTGTCTTCACCAAGGACTGGGCCACTTACCCATATGGGGGTGGTCTGGGAAAGTTCTCTAGTTAGACTGCTCCCTTCTAAAGCTCCTGATGAGAGGAAACATAAATTATTCCAAAGGACTTTGCCTCTTTTTAGTTTTTAAATTCTTTTTAAACCAGGAACAGCTGCTCAGGATACAAAACTATTCTTATTCCTCCTTGTGTTTTGAGCCTTCCTTTTCTGCCTCAGCCTGCTACCCCTAGCAACAGCAACCAGGTTACACAAAGCTCATGTCAGCGAGCTAACGGAAATTTGAGAAATTGTTTCATTTTGAAGACCATAAATAGGCCTGTCCTAGTGAAAGACCCTTAATTGGGCTCCATTTTTCCTTCCTATCTGAGAAAACATTCCATCCCCAGTGCCTGATGACAAGCTTCTCACCAATCAAAGCTTGTGAAGCACATCAAGGAAATGGATCGTTTATAACACAGATTAATGAGAATAATGAATGGTCAAAAAGTTTATTTTTTTTCAAAATTAGCTTCTAGTGCTATCATAAAACACTGACCATGCTGCCTTAACCAATGATGTCTGAAATACCCAGCAACCTGAGTTGATGAGGTTGGCCCACAACAGTTCTATTGCTATGCTAGGCAGAAATTTCCCCACTATCTCCCTGTCTTCCTATCCATATCCTCAAGAAAGAACCAAGCTGTTTAGGGGGAAAGGTTAGCAAAAGCTTGAGAGAAATTAATATATCATCTTGATGCTGTTTTCTTTAATTTTTTAATTTTAACCACAATTGATAATTTTACAACCTTGTCAATTAAAGAGTTTCATGCATACAGCATTCTAACACCAACCCTACCACCAGAGTGACTGTGGTATTACTGTCACTTCTGTCTCAGAATTCTCCCCCCCAACTACCTCTTACAAAAATATCCCCACTGTACCCCCATATCTCATTGCCCTGGTAAACTCCGTTCTGTAGACCAGTTCCTAGATTCTGTTTCTTTTAGCAATTTGTTGTTCCCTTACTATGTGGTTTATATCACACATTTGAGAGAGATCATTCTGTATGTCTCCTCCTAGCTAACTTCAGCTATCATGATAACTTCTAGATTTACCCACACAGCAACAAATTGCATAACTTTATCTTTTCTTGCAGCCAAGTAGTATTCCATTGCGTATGATATCATCTTCTTTATTCTAGGCTCAGGCTACTCTCCAGATGAAATCTACAATGAAGTATATGCTGAAGCAGCTCCACGTGACCCTGCCCTAGACTACAGAGGTAATTCTCACTCCTCAGGAGCAATCTTTTCTGGCCCTTCGCCTAAGCTTTCTGTAAAGTGTAAAGCTTGGTTCCTATTTATTCAAGTCACGGTCATGGTCACGGTCCTCCAGCTGTTCATCGATTTGCTCGAGTGGGCCCAGTAACGTCTACATCGTGAGACTTGTTGTTACTGTGTTTGGCATATTGAATATGTCACGGGTAGATTGCCAGGCTTTGACTCTCGGTAGCTAGCCAGGCTCTCCGAGAGGGGCGGAGGAATCAAACTTGGGTCGGCCATGTTGGCTGCATGCAAGGCAAATGCCCTATCTGCTGTGCTATCGCTACTATTCAGTAAATTAGGAACTGTGGTTTCTAAACACAAACTTGGTTACTGACTTGCTATGTGGTAGGTATCAGCTTTCTAGCACTAAAATAACACATCTATTAGTAATCATTAAGAATAAACTGGGTAGCTATTATATGAATAATGCTTTGTAAGATAAGACAGTGGGTGATACAAAATTTGTAAGATAAGACAGCACAGCGGGTGATACAAAATCTAAGAAAGGGGTTTGTTCCCTCAAGGAGCTCCATAATGCGCTCTCTCTCTCTCTCTCTCTCTCTCTCTCTCTCTCTCTCTCTCATGTGTGTGCGTGTGTTGTGTGTGTGTGTGGTGTTGGGGTTGAAACCAGAGCCTCACACATGCAAGGCAAATGTTATACTGTTGGAAAAATTCTTTTTAAGAAAAAGAAGTCAGTGACCAGAGGTTTGGCTTGATATCACATGCTAATTAGGAAGGAAGAAAGAAGGAAGGGTTGGAGGGAGGGAAGGAGGAAGGGAGGGAGCGAGGGAGAAGGGAGGGAAGGAAGGAAGGAGGGAGGGTAGGAGGGAGGGAGGGAGGGAGGGAGGAAGGAAGGAAGGAAGGAAGGAAGGAAGGAAGGAAGGAAGGAAGGAGTGACATGCAAGGTGAAATTTAGATTAGGCCTTGAATAATGAGTAGATTCTGATAACTGGAAAAGGAGGCAGAGTGTTAAGCAACACAGATGAACACAGTTATGGATGTAAAAATGAATAAAATGTAAAAATGAAATAAGCCTAACAGGATAGAGGAGATATAATACGGAGGACGTAGTATACAATAAAGTTGAATATAGATACCATATTAGGAAAGGCTCCAAGATCTTGGGACCCTTTTAAGTTTCCCTAGAGGCAAATGGAAATAGAAAGATGAAGTTTAGTGACTCAGCAGTTTAGATGCATAAGCTGTCTGAGGGAGCAGAGGGCTAAGGTCAGAGCTTTAGAAGGTATCACAGATAAGACTAGAAGAGCAGCCAAGAAAGGAAAAAGGAAGTTAGAGATCAGTCATATAGAGGATATCAGAGTATATCTATGTTATTACAGAAGATACAGAAGAACATTTTAAGGAAGGGGAAGGCCTTGTAAAAGATCAACAATGTCATATAATGCAGAGATAAACTACAACAATGTCAGAGGTTGAACTGAAGATAGAGCAAATATTATATTTGGCAAGAAGGGAATTAAATGGTGACTTTTGAGAAAACAGTTTTGACAGAAAAAAGTGATCAGAGCTATGAGTTCCTCTGAATACCTTCCTGGCTGGAGCAATAGCACAATGGGTAGGCCTTGCACACAGCTGACCCAGGTTCAATTCCTCCATCCCTCTCAGAGAACCTTTAAAGCTACAGAGAGTATCCCACCCACAAGGTAGAGCCTGGGAAGCTCCCTGGGGCATATTTGATATGCCAAAAACAGTAGCAACAAGTTTCACAATGGAGACATTACTAGTGCCCGCTTGAGCAAATTGATGAACAAATGGGAGGACAGTGCTACAGTGCTACCTTCCTTGCTTCCTTCTATCTATCTTCTTTCTGGCTAACAGTCCACCACCACTGTCTTTCTGACTCAGCATCCACTAACTTCTATGTGTCCCAGAGTCTATTTCCCACCCACAAATCTCCACATCAGCACAATATCTATTTTTTCTCTTTCAGTTGAGGTTCTGTGGTTTGTAACCATTTCCATATCACTTCCTCCTACTATAACACCACTCCCACCAACAGTAACCCTCCACCACCATCCTTAAGTTCCTTCCACCTAGCTCTTTGTAGCGGCTGTTCCCATTCTGGTGATAATGCCCTGGGGTTTGTTTCCATTGGTGATTGTCTAATTCTTTGCTTTGTTTCCTTATATGCCACATTTGAGCAAGGTCATCTGGTTTTTGTCTTTTACCTTCTCTTCACTTAGCATGATACCCTCCTAACAGCTTTTAAAGCTCACAATTTCCTAACAATGCTACATCTGTATGTCCCACTGTCTGTTGTTAGGGGGCTATGTCCACGGTGCTCAAAGACTATTCTTAGTTTATGTGCTCAGGGGTCATTCCTGGCAATGCTTAGTGATTATAGCAATGTCAGAGATTGAACTGAGATAGAGCACATTACAAGGCAAGTGCCTAAATCCCTTAAGTCCCCACATGGTTCCTTTTAAAGCTTCATTCTTCTCAGTCCATCACCATCTGTAAGAACATCCCTCTCTTTTTTAATCTTCCTTCCTTGGCCTTCAGGACATTTCACTACTCTGGTCAGAGCTGAACACAAGAAAGGAGATGGTGACAAGGGGAATAATGAAGTATAGACCTAAAGTTTGGCAAACTCTGACATAATCTCCTGAACTACATTCCCACCTATTGCTAGACAACTTCTATTTGACAATATCTAACATTAAGTCATCTTTACAGAAAAAGGCCCTGATACCAGACCTTTCAAGAAATACCTGCAATACCTTAGTGGCACCTTTATAACCCCACTTTCTGCATCATCTCTGACCATTTTCTATAAATCATCTTTTCTTTATTAATCCCTGAGGTTCAAACTTCTTGGCAAGATAATAAATTTTTATTAATATCTAGTTTATTTTAAAATAATATTAAATTAATAAATACAATGCATGGAAATTAACATACACATGTATATGACCTACATACAAAATTTTGGCTATTTAAGATGTGGATTATCAGAGGGAATAAAAAAAGCTTTATGGGGCTGGAGCACAGTGGGTAGGGCATTTGCCTTGCACGTGGCTGACCCGGGGTTCAATTCCCAGCATACCATATGGTCCCCCAAGCACCACCAGGAGTAACGCCTGAGTATATGAGCCAGGAGTAACCCCTATGCATTGCTGGGTATGACACCTCTCCCCAAAAAAAGCAAAAAATAAAATAAAATAAAAATTGAACTTAAAAAAGTTTTATAACGCTGCAATTCTAGTTCAGGCACTTATTCTTCACCATCACGTTTTAAAAAATAATTTATCCTCAATCAACTGTCCAGACTGGATAACTAATCATTTTCTGACATAGAATCAGTGCCTCATGTGTGACATGGCTGTATATATGGCCATGTAACACCTCCTCCATGTTTCACAGTACTAACATCCCAGTAGAAGCATAGAAAATTTGATGGGAAACTTGTGTAGAAGTACAATAACACAAGTCTCAACTAGCAACAACCAGCTCAGTAAATCCTTAAGCAATGGCTTTACTAACAATGATCACAAATTGACTTTTATTTTCTGATAATCTCATTTTCCATTTTGTTGCATCAAGCCATATGAAGTAAATCTGTGTGTGCCTGCTAAGAGGATAGGCTTGAGGGTTGGTAAACTGGGAACAGTGGTGGAAGGAAGTCACACTGGTGATGGAATTGGTGTTAAAACATTGCCTGAATGCCTGAAACAACTGTATTATGAACAACTTTGTAAATTACAGTATTTAAATTTTAAAAAATCTGTGCTTCAGCCAATTTAGTAGAACTTTTTCTTATTCCTATTTTTATCCAAATTGAGTTTCCCCTCATCTCTCCAACCATCCTTTCTAGCATTCATTTATTCTATACATATTTATTATTGAGTACCTAGTAAATGCTTCTTGTGGAATAAATGACTATTGTTGGGAACCATACATTTGACAATCCTTGTTTATTGCCTTTTTGACTTACTTTTTGTTACACCTCAACAAAATACCTATTTAACAGAAGAACCATTTATAACACACACACACACACACACACACACACATACACACACACTGGCTAGTTCACATCCTCGGAGCAAAAGTCAGATTGCACAAGAAAGTAATGGGAGAAGTGGGTAGGAAGAAACAGCAGATGAAGAAGATAATTTCAAGGAATCTGACAGCCTTATAATATTAATGTACCCATTTTTTATGTTTATGGTTATGTTTATGAGAGCACAAAGCTAATCAAGTGGGGTTATCAGCAATGAGTGGCAGAAGGGATGTGCATGAAAAGTACAACAACTTTGTAAACCATGGTGCCAAAAAAGATTGGGATATAGCCAAATTGCAGATCACTGAATACCTGTAGTATTTGAGACTTTTTATAATATGGGAGATAGTATTTCCACAAACCACTGGTTTAGGGCTAGGTTTTTCACACATTATAGCTTCACTTGATTCTTCAAAACAGGCGAAGAAAACTGGTTCGGTTTTCCTATTTTATACTTCAGGAAAACAAGCTTAGAATAGTTAAAATCACAGATCTTGGATGTGGCAGAAGAAACATTTTAGACCAAGGTCTGACTCCAAAGCTAGGCTCTCTCTTGTAAACATATTTCCTCTCTTTACCCACTCACATGTCCTTTTCTGTTGCTATTCTTTGGGCACATCAAGCGGTGCTCAGGGAATATTCTTGACTCTGCTCAGGGTGATGATATATATATATATATATATATATATATAATGATGTATATATATATATATATATATATATATATATATATATGCCGGGATGATCTACATATAGAGTGCCAGGGATCAAACTCAGGTCTGGCATATGCAAGGTAAGCACCCTACCCACTGTACTATCTCCTCCCACCCCCCATGTTTTTCTAAATATCATTCAATAAAAACTGCCTTTATTCACAAAAATGTACATGGTATATGATTGCTACATGATGTTTTTCTAAGGTCAAAAATTTAGATGTTGGAGGAGCTGATGAAAATATAAAGAATATAAAGAATCACACTTTGTATACAGTAGCTGCTTTATAATGACACATATTTCTACCAGATGTTTCACCATACCATATTTAGCCATGTTCTTAGTTTGCTTCCCATCAGCAGTTTTTGGATCTGGTTGGTTAGCCAGTTACAAATCTCCATAATGGTACTGTCACTTTATACTGATAGTATAAAAGACATTTGCCACATGCTTCTATATATAACTTACCATTTCCTCTACTCTGCCAGTCTGGTTACAATATCCCAAAAGGAAATGACATCAGTGTGGAATTATTCTTGAGGGCAGCTGAAGATTACTACTTCCCTTTCTGTCAGACTCCTGTGTTCAACTATTCAAGGTTGCTATCACTGCTGTTGGTTTTCCCAGACCATAGTTCCTAAAGTCTACCTTACTCCTTTTGGGGAATCAAATGTACAGCATGGTAACTACAATTAATAATACTACATCACTGGATTATGGAGATAGCTCAGAAGATCTGAATTTGAACTCTAACACTAACTCAAAAGTTAACATTTTGAGTTAGAAACCACAAGCATGTTGCTGCTTGAAGGAGCGTTTTCTCATTGAAATCTGTCTTTATTCTCCAGCTGCCCTCAAGTAGAGGCTCTAACTTTTGTTAATTTAGCTCCTTGTATGCTTTCTGTCCGAGCCTCCTTTTTGGATTACAATTTTTGGAACCAAATGAGCCCAAATGGAGCTTTAGTTTTCCCAGCCCAAGCAAACAAGTATGTATCACTTCGGGCAGGTGGCCCTCCACCTGATTATATGTATCTCTTTAAAATCTGAATCCAGTATCCAGTAAAGAATCATTTTTCATATAGTCAATGAGGGGAATTTTGGGGAGGGGTGGTTGGTGAGCAACACCCAGTAGTGCAAAGAATTTACTCCTGGCTATGTTCAAGGGACCAATATGCAATGTCAGAGAGATCGAACTGGGGTCAGCAGCAAGCAATGAAAGTATCCCTCCAGCCCTTCAATGAGAGATCTTTATGGTGTATTTATGATTTAATTACCCCATAACCTACTGTTCTTATTAGTGAACTGGAATTGGACTTTCACTCCAAAACAATCTTTGACGTTGCATTTCCTTCTTCTCACTTGCTTACATATTTCTGTGGATTTTAAAAACTATTTAAAATTTACATGACAAAATTCACTCTTTGGGAACAAATAGTTCTAGGAGTTTTGACAAATGCATAAGGCCATATTACCACCATGACCCTTCAAATAGTTCTATCACCTAAAGAACTTGCTCAGGGATGCCCCACTAAGCTTATTTATATCTAACTTTTACCCCTGATCTTTGGCAACTACTGACCTGTCCCTATATTGTTTCCTTATCCAGAACGTCATATAAATGAAACTTTTGCTCGAGCGGGCCCAGTAACGTCTCCATTGGAGACTTTGTTGTTACTGTGTCTGGCATATCGAATACTCTCGGTAGCTTGCAGGGCTCTCCGAGAGGGGCGGAGGAATCGAACTCGGGTCGGCCATGTTGGCCGCTTGTAAGGCGAACGCCCTACCCGCTGTGCTATCGCTCCAGCCCAAATGAAACTTAAACATTTATATATAGAATTTTTTATCAACACAAGATTTTATTTTACTTGGCTAAATATCTAAAGTGGTACTGCAGAGTTTCAAGACAAGGGTATATTGACCTTTATATGAAAGTACAAAATATTTTCCAGAGTAGCTATTTCATTTTGTATTTCTTCCAGAAATGAGTTTCAGTTTCTTCTCCTTTCCAACACTCTGTACTACAAGGCTGTTTTTTTACCTTTAAGTCACATTATTGTGTGTATAATGGCATCATATTGTTATTTTAATGTCACTTTTCTTTGTGTGGGGAAGGTTGGCCACATCCAGCTGTGCTCAGGAATTGCTCTGGGTTCTTCACTCAGGGATCACTGCTGGTGGGCTTGGGGGACCATGTGGAGTATCAGGGATCAAAGCCAAGTTAAGCACCCAATCCACTGTACTATCACTCCAGTTTTTAATGTCACTTTCCTAATAACTAATAATGAATCTTTTCCCATGCTTATTTACTATAATATATCCTCTTCAGTGAAATATCTTTTCATCACTTTTGCCCATATTCTAATTAAATTCTTTCCTTTTCTGTTGAGTTTGAGAGTTTGTTCTGTAACTTAGATACTAATTCTTGGTCAAATGTATGGTTTTCATATATGTTCTCCTAATTTCTAGTTTAACTTATTACTGCCTTTCAAAGAACAAGAGTTTAACTTTGACAAAGTATACTTTATTGATCTTTTGCTGTAATGAGATGTGTTTTAGATATATCTCAAACCTTTTTCCAAGCCCTAGAATCCAACGGTTCCCCATTTTCCCCTAAACATGTTATAATTTTAATCTTTATATTTAAATGGACACAATCCACTTTTGTATAAAAAAGGAGAATTCTCTCTCTTCCTCCCCTCTCCCTCCCTATCTTCTCTTTTACTCCTTCCTCATTCTCTTCTTGGACTAGGGTTTAGTTGTTTTAGCACTATTTGTTCAAATGACTGTCTTTTCTATACGGAATTTCTTTTGCATCTTTCTTCAAAATCACTTTGGTATGCTTGTAGAGATCTATTTGGGGTCTTTTGTCCCACTGACCTTTATGTCTGTCTTTTCAACAATATACTGTCTTGATTACTGTGCTTACTTTTCTTCTATCGCTACAGCCCCCCGATGGTGTTATACATTAAATATCCAGGATGGAGAAGTCACATGCTACTCACCAAGGGGAAGAAACTATTACAGCAGCCTGGGCACTCGTTGTGAGATCTCCTGTGACCGAGGCTTTCGGTTGATTGGAAGGAGGTCGGTGCAATGCCTGCCAAACCGCCGTTGGTCTGGAACTGCCTACTGCAGACGTAAGTTAAGTGTGTGTATATGTGATGTGTGTATATGAGAGGTAAGCCAACTGATCATTGAAGGCACATGCCTGGTGGTAAATTATGCCATCTGTCAATTGCAAATTGAGAACTTTCCATAGGCCTCTAATAGAACCTTCTATTGTAACAAACTATTTTTTCTCCCTGTTGTTATTGTCCTAGGAATTTGGAACATTTCAGTAGCAATCATCAGTTCTGGCTCAGGGGGCCCAGGAGTGCATTTTGGAGCTTAAGGCTTGAGCCTGAGGCCTATGGACCTGAGCCTGCCCCTGAAACTATCAAGCTGTGAGTTCTTAGACTCTTTCCCACTTGTGGTAAACAGCTGCACTTCCTGGACTAAGACCTTAGAAAGCCTTGGCAGTAAAGTTATATCTGCTGTACTTCATTTGCTTCTGAAAGTCAAAAACAATTCTTAAGTCTAGAAGGGAGAATGCTAAAATACATAGGTTCCAAATCATAGTTTACCGTCTTATCATTTGAGCTTTGTTTGTCCATTTGTCCATCAGTCTGAATGCTATTTGTTAGACACCTGTGTGTGCATGAATACAGTGTACCTGGACATAGAGTGCTACTTATTCAGAGAAAAATGGTGTGGTCAAATAAGAGGATAAGGAGAAGAGAAATTTGATAGCCTGAAAAGAAGCCATCACACCCCTCTATGTAGCTGTAATTAATTTGTTTTTCGACAGGCTCCATTATGTTGATCACTTTGGAAGCTTTTTTAATTCCTAAATTATCCCCAGACTGATTGCAGGTTAATGGGATAGAATCAGAAATGTGTGTACATGAATATGGTGTACCTGGATGCAGAGTCCTAACTATTCAGGGAAAAAATGATGCTGTCAAAGAAGATACTGTGGAGAAGAAGTTTGATAGCCATAAAAGAAGCCACCACACCCCCTCTAAATGACTGCAATTAATCTGTTTTTAGACAGACCCCATTATTTCCAAAATGAATTTGGGTTGGCCTCACAAAATTAAAGTAACATGTGATAAATTTAAAGTGAACATAAATCCAGTTAAGAAAATGAGAACTACTTAGTTCCCGGTGCCTGGGGTAAGTTAATTACTATAATTGAGCACTGAAAAATGGCTTTGTATTTCCTCATGAGAGACAAAAAGGTGAAGACTTTATCATGTTCACTGTCATGTAATATTAAGTAAATGAATTCCCCTGAAAAGATAAGCCTTTTCTTGGCCCTGATTTCAAGGACCCTTTTTTTGGTGTAGATCTTTACATAAAGGATACTAGAAAAGATAGAAGGCAAAAACCTTTGAATGAATATGTCTTGACCAGGAAACAAAATGAATTTTAATTTATGTAGAATTTTTCTTCAAAGCTCCAGAAACTGACCTAGGTGGGAATAAAACTTAAACAACCTAAAGGAATGTATAACTTACCCATTTCTCTCAATTAACAAGTATCTCAAAAGAGACTTTGACACTCCCAGAATCACAATCAATTTGCAGTAGTAGTCTCTGTTGTGGCACATGTAGTAACTAAAACACTTCAATTTCTCTTGAGTCAAATGCCACAAAGCTGGTCTTCCAGGTACTGGTCTAACTTCTATTTTTATGTAGATAGAGGGCCAACCTATTTCTGAAAAGTGCTTGTGAAAACAGCTAGCTGAATTATACTCCCTCAAAAAAAGGAGTTTAGAATTTGTTTAATGACTTTTCACATTTGTGGAACAAAAGACAAATGCTAACAGTTGTTGAGACCCTAAATGAGTGCAGAGTGTTAAATGCAGTGTCTCTTCAATCTGCATAACAATCCTATGAAGTAGTCACATTTTACTGATGATAATACCGAGACTCAAGAGAGATAAAAAAAAAATGGGGCTGGAGTGATAGCACAGCAGGTAGGGCGTTTGCCTTGCAGGAGGTCGACCTGGGTTCTATTCCCAGCATCTCATATGGTACCCTGAGCACCACCAGGAGTAATTCCTGAGTGCAGAACCAGGAGTAACCTCTGTGCATTGCCGGGTGTGACTCAAAAAGCAAGAAAGAGAGAGAGAGAGAGAGAGAGAGAGAGAAAGAGAGAGAGAACATAATTTGCGTAAATCACAGAGCTGGTTAGTTGGGGTACTAACTCTGATGTGATTCCAAATTCCATGTACTTGCTGCAGCCAGAGAGAAAGTAGAGTAGGTAGGTTACATGCCTTGCACACAGCCAATCCAGGTGAGAGTCTCGGCACTCCATATATATGATCCCCCGAACTCTGCCAGGAGTGATTTCTGAGTGCAGAGCCAAGGGTAAGCCCTGAGCACCAATGGGTGTGGCCCCAAAACCGCAATAAAAAACAAACAACAAAGTCCATGTACTTGGACAAGTACTTTAATTCACTAAGTCCCTCCCTTCCCCTTGAGCACTATGGTGTTTTGAACTATAAAAATAAAAACACAAAAGAGGCAATAAGGTGCAAAATGTCAGGTCCATTGGGGAACTCTGTATTTTCTGCTCTTTCAGATACTGATATAACTCTTAGGTGCCCAGGCATATCTCCACATAATCCCACAAGTTTCTGAGCTTGCTACTTGGTTTTCTTTTAGAGGTGAGATGCCATGCACTGCAGTTCATCACTAGTGGCACCTACAGCTGCACAAATGGGGTGCTTCTTGACTCCCGGTGTGACTATAGCTGTTTCAGGGGCTATCACCTGGAAGGTGATCGTAGTAGGATCTGCATGGAAGATGGACAATGGAGTGGGGGCGAGCCTGTATGTGTAGGTAAGTGCTGCTTGCTACCGTTACCCTACTGCAAAGAGCCCCTGGCACGATAGAGGATGATAATTCTTACCTTAGAATGCATTCCTGCTCACTATGAGGGTGGCACCCTAGGCACATGCTTAACCTGTTTGAAAAAATTGATTGCATTCTCTGGAGCTGAACTTCTTTTTCCAATTTCCCTCCATCTTGAACTGAGAATTTTAAGCCTACACAGTAGTGTGGCATTGCATCTATGGGTCCACTCTAGGAAAGATGAAACATTTGATTTTGATTGTTTGCGCGGACTACACCCAGTGGTGCTTGGGGGGGATACTCATAGGCCAGTATTCCAGGATTGCTCTGGTGCTCTCAGAAAGATATGAAGCCAGGGATCAAACTCAGGCCTCCTGTAGGCAAAGCATGCACTCTAGCCTGTTGAGTCATCTCTGTAGTCTAGTCCTGGGTTTGTCACTTTGACAGACATAGATCCTCCCAAGATCCGATGTCCCCACTCACGTGAGAAGATGGCAGAACCAGAGAAACTGACTGCTCAAGTATACTGGGACCCACCTTTGGTGAAGGATTCTGCTGATGGTACTATCACCAGGTGAGCTCAAGCAAATCGGTGACGCCCTTTGGTCTCCTTGCAGCTCTCCCAGGCTCTCAGGCTGCTCTCAGTGAACTACAGAGGTTGAGGCTATAGTGATTATAATTGAGATCTCAATTTTAAGGGTATGTTTCCACAGTGGCTCTTTCAACCTGTCCCATGCAGGGTAACACTTCGGGGCCCTGAGCCTGGCTCTCACTTTCCCGAAGGAGAACATGTGATTCGGTATACTGCCTACGACCAAGCCTACAACCAGGCCAGCTGCAAGTTCATTGTGAAAGTACAAGGTCAGAACGAAGTCTTACATTTCTACAAGGTCTCATTTCCTGCTCCTGACCTTCTAGATGCCCATTGCAATCTTCTCCTCTCTGTGTCTGAAACAGAAAGCTTATTTATATTAGGAAAAGAGAAGAGCAAGTTCACTCAGCTGAGTCATTCAGGAAGTTTGTATTACATACATATACACATATTTTGAAACTTTACTCCCAAGACTTTCTCCTTTTCCTAAATCTAGATAAAACTCACTTCTCTGTTTCTTTTCTTGGACTTCCAGTTACTGACTTGTTCTCAGTGTTTCATCCCAGGCTGAAAATGATGGTATTGGTCGCTTTAATTTCCTGTTTTGTGTTATATTGTTTTGAGTTGCTTTTCTGATGATAAAAATGATTCATTTTAACTAAAGAAAACAAACTGATTAAACAACAACACTAACTCCTAGGCTCGGTTTGAAAAAAATTGTGATGGTTAACAAAGGAAAAGGGGGAAGGTGGGAAGATCTTTGATGGTGAGCAGGATGGTATTGAAACTTTGGTGGTGGGTGTAGTGAATCCTATACACAGACAGAGGTGTTAAATTTGTGTGGTATTGTAAACCAGTGAAAATTGATTTCAAAGATGGAAAAGCATGAAACAAACAAGATAAATAAGTAAAAATGGTGCAACATGAAAAAAATCATGCTCATTGTTACACATTTTGGACAGAAAGAAATAATCAAAGGGGAAATCTATTACACTGCCGTTCAAAGTAAACTGCTGTTAATCATTTTATTTTCCTTCTAGCTTTTTCTATATACACCTAAAATATATATAGTTAAGAAAAATCATGTATTTAATCTTAGACCACCCATTTTACTTTTCCTAACAAGTTTTCCATGTTTCTCACACATTCTTCAGAAATACAAATGTTTAATTTTAGAAAACAATTCAGAGTTTATGCAGGTTGTTTCTTGCATTGATAGTCATTAAAAGGAGGAACAAGGGTTCAGGAAACAGCTCAAAAACCTGAGTACATGCTTCGCATGCAGGAGTCCCAGGTTTGATCCCCAGTATTGCAAAAAACCTTGATCACCACTGGAAGTGATTCCTGAACAGGGAACCAGGAGTAGCCCCCAAGTGCTGCTAGTATGGACAAAACAAAACAAAACAAACAAACAAAAACACACAAAAGAAAGAAAAAGGAAACAGCTTTTAGTTTTATTTATTTTTATTTTAATTTTTTTTGCTTTTGGGGTCACACACGGCAATGCACAGGGGTTACTCCTGGCTCTACACTCAGGAATTACCCCCGGCAGTGCTCAGGGGACCATATGGGTTGCTGGGAATTGAACCTCGGTTGGCCGCGTGCAAGGCAAATACCCTACCTGCTGTGCTATTGCTCCAGCCCTGGCTTTTAGTTTTATTTAATTAAATTTTTGTGGGATTTTGTTTTGTTTCATCTTTGGAGGGGGCACACCCAGCAGTGCTCAGGCTTATTCCTGGTACTCCTGGTGGTGCTCAGGGGACCATATGTGGTACCAGGGATTGAACCCAAGCACTCTACCTACTGTACTATTGCTCTGGTCCCACCTCCATTTCTTCCTGTAGATGTCCCAAGGCTGCAGGTATGACAGTTCAATGCTCATGCCCAGTTATGTGATGTTTGAAGACCATCAAGGCAACACCATGGATCAGGATTCAGAGCCCTGATGTACTAGGAACCACAAATATTTTAATAACAGACTAACCTACTTCTAAAAATACATCATGATTTACTTAATGCTTCTCCTATTGATGAAAATTTAAGTAACCAATGATTATTTTTATAATTAAAATAATGTTTTAAAGTTGTCACCTCTATGCAAGTATCTATAAAATTTGAAAAAATGCTACATATATGTGCACACATATACATATATATATATACTCACACATATGTATATATGACAGATTCATGGTTTTTTGATGACAATCTCATACTTTTAGATTTTTGAGCATTCCTATCTGCATTTCAGATTTAATTTGTTAAAGAAAGGAAAATTCTGACTCCATTTTGGACTTTAGAAATACAGAGAAGTCATTTATAGTGATTATGTTAGTTTTCCACATTTGGAAAACTCATCATGGGCACCTTCTTAGCCCTTTTCTTTGTCTGGGAGAGATCTCATAGGCCCTAATTTGAACTCCTCCTTAACAGTGAGACGTTGTCCAAGTCTGAAACCACCAGAGCATGGCTACCTGATTTGCACCTCAGCAGGGGACAACTATGGTGCCATCTGTGAATACCACTGTGATGGAGGTTATGAGCGCCAAGGGACCCCCTCCCGAGTCTGCCAGTCCAGCCGCCAGTGGTCAGGAGTACCTCCCACCTGTGCTCGTGAGTGAAACCAGGGAATAGGGAAGAGTGGATAGATCAAGGCTATTTTAGAGGATCTTCTAGTGTGTGTGGCACAAGGGTCCAAAAGCAATGTCTGTGAAGTGGGAATGGAAGTTCTGTGGTGAATTTAAAGGTCAAAGTCACCTCCATACCCCATAGACTATTTCTACTCTATAAGAGGAAGAGTTTAAAATCTAGTTTTTTGGGATTTCCCTCAAAGAAAGGGGTAAACCCTCAAGGGGGTTTACTCCACAGACCAGAACTCAAGATGTTATTAGCCATGCTGAGATGAAAAGGGGTATACATTGGGGGCCAGATAGTACTGCGGATAAGGTACTTGCCTTGTACATAGCTGACCCAGGTTTGACCCCCAGCACCCCATATAGTCCCCTGAGCCCACCAGGAGTAATCTCTGAGCTCAGAGCCAGGAATAAGCTCTGAGTACTGGCAGGTGTGACCCAAAAAAAAACAGAAAATGAAAAAGAATATACTTTGGCCATCTGTTTCTGTCCTAGCTATGAAGATTAATGTCAATGTCAACTCAGCAGCTGGCCTTCTGGAACAGTTTTATGAGAAACAGAGGCTTCTCATCATCTCAGCTCCTGATTCCTCCAACAGACACTATAAAATGCAGATCTCTATGCTACAGGTGAGACCCCCACACACACACCCTTAATTGGGGCTTAGCTATATTACATACCTCCTCCCCCTAACCCTTATTCCCTTACCTTTTCCAAGTCAAGGAGTTGCACGTTTTGTGGCACAAACTCTCTTCTTCAAACTTTTTGTGGATAGAATCTGGTAAGTTTTTCTGCAGGCAATTTTACCACATTTAAAAAAATTGAGACTACATCTTTAATTGAAAAAGTAGTTAGAACACTGGAATGGTGAGAGTGACTTACAGGGAATCAGTGAAGAACAGAAAAAGATTTTTTAAAAAGAATGGAAAAAGAACAGGGCAAGGTACTCTGAAGACACTTGTAAAACTGGTATGATCAAATGCGATTGTGTTTATTTCAAGAAATATTAGCACTAATAAATACTTAAATGGTAAGTACCATAAAAGCCTCAAGTATGTAAGTATCTGCTTTGTACAGGTTTAATTTTCACAACCACCCTCATGATGTGTGAACTTTTACTGTGCCCATTTTATAAGTAAGGAAACCAAGGCAGAGAGAGGCTAATGACTTATTTACCCAAGATCACTAGGTACTAAGTGTCAAGTCAGGACTGAACCCAGGAAGTCTGACTACAGGATCTGTGCTTCTAACCATTACTAGTAGGAGAAGAGAAGGAAAGGTGTTGTGATATTCATAATTTTGAGAGGGTTGCACAGTTGTTTTGCAAGAATACAAGATACCTAGCCTTCGCTACTGGTAGGAGCAGGAAGACTAAGACACAACATACATGGCTATTTGGAATTCAAAAGAGAACAGAATAGATTCATGAAGAACACTCAAGAACCCCTGTCAAGATGAAAAGAGTCAACTCTGAGGAACTTCAAGGGATTGCTTATACATGTAAGAGAAGAAATGATTTAGGGGGGATTCTAAAGATTGAATCTTGCAAGTTGCTAAGTCAATATTCATTGAACTGATGGGGCAGAACTTAATGGTAGTAGTTAATAAAAGGATGACCTTGGATGTCTAAAACAAAAAGAACCTAGTTCCTCTAACATTAAAACAAAAAGGTAGCAAAGACACTACATTAGCTCCAACAGGAAACAAGAACAAGAACAGGAAGTACCCAGTAAGTACAGGCACTTTGAGGCTTATAGGAATAACCCAAATTAAGTTAGGGGTGGAACACCAAGAAATGTTCACTGCTTCTTTAAACCTATCCCAGGTAAATGGCAAGTAGTTAACCCCGAAGGGCAAAGCAAGACGAAAAATCAAGGGTGGAGATTACTGCCCAGTGTGAGAAAAAGCAACAAAGGATAATGAAAAAAAGCAGTAGTATTCTAGGTAAATTCTGGAGACTGGAAGATGACCTTGGTCATGCAGTTCATGGTTGTGCACTTAGGTAGGCACAAACTAACTATTCAGTCCTCAGTTTGTATCATGGATTAGCATGTTATTATTGCCATGCACATTTACACAAATAGGTCTCTTTACACAAAAAGTTGTGATGATCATACTATTTCTGTGAAACATGTGAACATGTGTTCAGTAAACAAAACCCATTGTGATATCACAATAGCCTCCTGTTAAGATCCTATTCTATGCATTTTAAATCCTGTGAAAAACTAAGCAATGATAGATCATAGGTAAAGGTAAAGGTAAAGGCCCTCCCGTTGATCGTCGATTTGCTCGAGCGGGCCCAGTAACGTCTCCATTGGAGACTTTGTTGTTACTGTGTCTGGCATATCAAATACTCTCGGTAGCTTGCCGGGCTCTCCGAGAGAGGGGCGGAGGAATCGAACTCGGGTCGGCCATATTGGCCGCTTGTAAGGCGAACGCCCTACCCGCTGTGCTATCGCTCCAGCCCCTGATAGATCATATTCCTGCAATTATTCAATTACTTTTCTGTTTTCTCTCCTGCATGATAAAACTAGTTTTACATATTTCATTAGAATAAAGGATAGGGAAAGCTCCTCAGGAATGACAGAGGGGAGAGTTTGTAAACCCCTTGGTGAGAGGGTTCAAGGAGAAGCCCCTCCTTTCCCACACTCCCCTACAAGGTCCCAGAAGGCATCAACTAAGCAGCCTTAGGTTGATCCTATTACATAAAGCATACTCTCTTTCCAGCGATCCATCTGTGAATTGGACCTGCGACATGTGACCATCATCGAGCTGGTGGGGCAGCCACCGCAGGAGGTGGGGCGAATCCGGGAACACCAACTGTCAGCCAACATCATCGAGGAGCTCAGGTGCAGGCTGGGAAGCTGCAGGGGAGGGTCTGGTAGGACATGGCAATATAGGTTCAGCAGAGAATCAGCAGACACTACTCTCTTAAGGAGCAACTTTTTCATATGCATCTGGTAATACAAAATAGTGGCAGGCCATCAAGGTCAAGTGGGGTGGGGCTTCAAATACAGATGACCAGGTCCAACATCAAACCAATTTAGGCCTATACTGTTTTAAAGCATGTCAGGTGACTCTGAAGAACTACCAGTGTTCAGGCAGTTACACCCAGCTATAACTAAGAGAAACTCTGATTCTGTTTCCACGTCGCCTTCATCTCTTTATTTCCAGTCACCAAATAAGGAGCAGAAGTCACTGAAATCTGAGTCATATCCATCTATCCATACCAATCTTTCCATAACCAACTGGGGAAAGAGAAGCCTATAAGCGACAGGTAGCAAAAGTTGATTTTTCCCCATATCTGTTCATTGTCATTCTTTCAATACCTCTACACATACTCAGGGTCAATAAAATAATCATTTCCTGCACTATAAACAATACTTGCATTTATGGTTCAGTCTTAGTGGGGATAGAAAGAGTCAGTAGAAACTGGGGAACACTCAGAGGAGGAAGACTGCAGATTTGCAGCTACAAATAGAGAAGCTGATCAATCTCTGTGATGTCAAGCATGGCATTGCATGTTATGCCAAGCCCAATTCTTTTTTAAATAAAATATGACTTTGGGGCTGGGGGGATAGCACAGCAGGTAGGGCATTTGCCTTGCACGCAGCTAACCAGGGTTCGATTCCCAGCATCCCATATGATCCTCCGAGCACCACCAGGAATAACCCCTGAGCATCGCTGGGTGTGACCCAAAAAGCAAAAAAAAAAAAAACGACTTTTATTATATCATTCTTTTTTACTTTTTTATTGAATCACTGTGAGATAGACTGTTACAAAACTGTTTATGACTAGATTTCAGTCATGCAGGATTCCAACACACATCTCTCCACCAGTGTACATTTCCCAGCAACACTGTCCCCCACCCCCACCCCCTGCCTGCCTCTAAGATGGCAGGTGCTTTTATTCTTCTTCTTCTTCTTCGTCTCCTCCTCCTCTTCCTCCTCCTCCTCTTCCACTCCTCTCTCTCTCCTTCTCTCTCTCATGCCCAGCCCAATTCTAGGAACACTAGTCCACACCATAGTACATGTGACTAGTGCTCCCTAGTTATTCTGTGCATCCTACAGAGCACTATGTGATGGATCTACATATAGTATCTCTAATAGAAGCCTGGAAGCAAATGCTTGCAGTTAGATGTATAAAGGCAACAAACCTAGGTAGTCCAGTACAGAAAATGGGACTTGAGATAGGTAGTGGAGGGAATAGGGACAAAGGATTGTGTGGATCAGGAGTTAGTTTATAAGGAGAGCTATGAAAAATCAGATGGGATGGAACCTAAACAAGGTCTCACACCTCTCTGGGATCCTCTCTACAGGCAATTCCAGCGCCTCACTCGCTCCTACTTCAACATGGTGCTGATTGACAAACAAGGAATTGACCGGGAACGCTATATGGAACCTGTTATTCCAGAGGAGATCTTCATGTTCATTGATGACTACCTACTAAGTGACCAGGAGCTGAAGCAGCGCAAGGAACAAGAGGATTTGTGCGAATAAAATTGAGCCAGGACCTGGTTGAGATTGAGATCAAGAGAAAAATTCCACTAGTTAGCTGAAACCAAGGCCTACTAAGTTGGACAGTGGTTTCTCATGGTTCTGGGGTCAGGACTGTGAGGTGGGTGAGTTTTACAAATTCTTGGGCATTTCCAGGCACCCCTTAAAGACTGTGTCATAGTTTCCTTAAGAAAGATTATGCATTAGCTAGTACTGGATCTGCAGAAGAAGTCAGGAAGGGACTAACAATAGGCCCTGGGCAGCAGTTTAAGGTTCCTTGAACTGTGTAAGTTCTTTTAATCAGACTAGACTATCTTTGTTTTCTGACTGAGTGTCTGCCTGCTCATTTCTTCAGTCTCACAGATAAGTGCATTAGTATCTCTTATCCACAGAGGATGTATTCCAAGACCTCACCAGTGGATGTCTGAAACTGTGGATAATAAGGAATACCTATATATACATATATATACATATACACTGTTTTTACTATACATACATATCTATGATAAAGTTTAATTTATGGACCAGGCACAGTGACTAATAAAATAGAATAATTATAACAATAACAATACTATTAATAAAAGTTACATGAATTGTGGTCTCTCTCAGAGTATCTTATTGTACCTACTTTTGAAGATTGGGTTGGCAGCATGTACCTAAAAATACAGAAAATGAAACGTTGATTTGGGGCCCTAATATAAAAAAAATGTGTTGCCTTTTTTTTAAGTGATTACTCTCTCAAAATGACAGCAGAGGGCAGCACTGTCACAACTATCAGGACACTGACTCAAGTGAAGGTAGACTCTGTATAGGTTAACTGTACACTGAAATAACATGTCAGAACTTCTTGAAGTTGTCATTTTCCCTGTTAGGGTACTGAGCTATAAATGTAGCACTAATAATTGCTTCATATAAGAAATTTAAAAATGTAGTGGCAGAATGCTTGGGAAGAAAAACAAGACAGAGCAGAATGCTTTCATATGACCTCTCCTGCCTGCAACGATCTCTTCTAAGTCTGTAGTTCACACAACAAAGGCAGCCTATACTGCCTCTTGCTCAGTAATGCCACAGTTTGTAATCTAGAGAATATCACTGCCACTTGAACCTCTGTAAAGCTAAATAGTGAAGAGAAAGGAAGACGTATTTAATATTGGATATTAACTTACTCAAATTACACTCTTAAAAATTAGTTCGCTAGGGGCTGGAGAGATAGCACAGCGGGTAGGGCGTTTGCCTTGCACGCGGCCGACCCAGGTTCGGTTCCCAGCATTCTATATGGTCCCCTGAGCACCGCCAGGAGTAACTCCTGAGTGCAGAGCCAGGAGTAACCCCTGTGCATCGCCAGGTGTGACCCAAAAAGCAAAAAAAAAAAAAAAAGTTCGCTAAACTATAAAGATTATTTAAAAAGAAATAAATGAGTGTAGAGAATATGGGAGCTTTGTCTAGCACATAAAACCTTAATAAGATGATCTGAAATTAAACTTGAGGCCTATGTCGAGTGGAACCACAATGATTCTTGCTCTAGCCTCCATATTTAAAAGAAAGCACATTTCCTTGCAGCTGAAAACTTTGTTTTCCACATTGGTAGAATCAGTTTTATAGTTAAGACTCATAAATATTTCTGTTATCTTTATGTAGAATAATAAGTGAAAAATGAGGGGAGACAATAGTCTGGGTAAAGGGGAAGTGTTACTAATTCTTTTTTGGCAGGGGGCATCCCAGTGATTTGAAAATCAAAGTACTGTGCGATGTGGGGTCCCCAAAGCTAATCCCAGAAACACTCAGTGGACCAGTAGAGCTGGGGATTGAACGAGGATTAGTCATAGGCCAGGCATACACCATAGCTCCTATGCTAACTCTTAGAATACTGACCAAATCAGACCTTGATTCCAACCCCAACTGATTTTCATCCCAGGTGATATACTAAGGAGCAGTTCTAAAAGTTTTATCAATTGACTAAAATTTTTACAAGGTAGGTGCTGTTATTGGCCCCATTCCACAGGTGAGAGGACTAAATCACAGGTAAGTGAAGCAACATGCATAAGATCAAACAACTAGCTTGTGGCAGTATTGGGATTTAAACTTCAGCAGTCTGGCTCCAAAGGCAATGCTCTTAAACAGTATGCTACATACTTCTACTTCTTTTTCTACTTTTCATTTAAAGATAGCTGACAGCTCCAATCAAGAAGAAAGGTTTCATCTTTTTTTAATGTTACTTAGACAAGATTCAGAGTGGGCCCAGGAGGAAAGAGGGAATAAGAGGCTTTCAACCAAGAAAGTTCACTCTTGAAAGCAGAGTGATGGCACATAAATCATGAGCCCAAGATATATCAGGGTAATAGTGAGTCAGAGAAAAGCTATTTCCACAGGTTTTTTTAAAATAGAAATATCATTTTTAAAATGCAAAATAAAAAGTTAAACAGTTTCTAGGTGAATGAGACATAAGAGATGATCAAGCTTGCAGCACAAAGGTTCCCTCTCCCTCTTCTTTATAGGAACTATAAAAGGCACGAGGAAAGTTGTATGTAGAAAGCAAATATCTTTGCTCATAGAGGATCAATGTTTCCAAAGGCAAAGACTTAAAAATAAATCATTCAAAATTAATGTCCATTATTAGTAACACTTCCTTATCGGTAACACTTCAAGTGGCAAGTCAGGACATGCTAGTAGGTCAAAGACCCAAGTAAGAACTCATCAGTGACTACTGAACAGTTCCAATTTGGGCTTGATTCATTTTTTTAAGTAGTCAATGCTGTTACATCTTGTTTAGTTTTTTTTTAATTTAGATTTTTATTAGTGAAACACCACATATCTTGTTTAGGTAAACTTATGCTATAATTTCCTCTGTAGCTAAAGGCTAAAGAGGGCTGGCACCAGAGAGATACAGTGGGCTTGCCTTGCATGCAGCCAATCTGGGTCTGATCCCTACACCCCGTACAGTACCTTGAGCACCACAAGGAATGATTCCTGAGTGCAGAGTCAGGAGTAACCCCTGAGCATAGCCAGGATTCCTGCCCCACTCTACCACAAACAACAAAAATAAAGTAGGGGAGGAAGGGAGCAGCTAAATCAGATACATTTTCTCTGCTCCGAAACTCCTCTCCTCTCCTCTCCTCTCCTCTCCTCTCCTCTCCTCTCCTCTCCTCTCCTCTCCTCTCCTCTCCTCTCCTCTCCTATCTCTCACCTCTATTCCCCTTAGAACTCCCTAACCCCTCCCCGCACCCTCCTCTATCCCCTGTCTTCACTCCTGCTCCTCCCATGATGTAGCATTCTAACTGTCCTACTTTGTAGAGTCAGACCTTGAGTTCAATCCCAAATCTGCCACAAGACAATGGCCTTGATTTTCCTCATTTTCTACTTAGTAGATGATTTTTCCCGTTTTCCAAAGAGGAAGTGATGTGCTTTAGGAAATTAAGGAAACTATATAATAAGCCTATGCACAAAAAGAATTCAATACATTTTAGTATCATTTTGCCTGAGAGGTCAAGAATCATTTGGGTTCCACCTAGGAACCAGAAGCCTTGTTTCTGAGACGGGTTAGTTAGCAGCATTTTTATCTCTCAAAACTAAATAATGGTAGTAGGAGTAAAAGGGTAAAAAAGGTCTTAACTCCCAAAGAAACATAAGAATCCAGAAAGAAACATATCAAGCGATGTTTTCCCTTCCATATCCTCCTATGCACATGTCTCTTTCCTTCAGATAGATAAAAGTGGAGGGGAGTGAGTGTGTGTGCAACTGAGAGAATAGAGAATGAGGGGGAATGAGAGAGAGAAGTGAAAGTCCTGTATTCCAGATATCAAACATGAATAAACAAAAAGGACAAGGAATTAGAGTTCAGTGGAGATATCAGTTAGCAATGTGGAGGGAAAAAATTTTCTTAAAATGTGAGAATGGCTGAGAGAAAAAAAATTTCTTAAAATGTGAGAATGGCTGAGATCAAAATTACTGAGAACATTCTCTGTTGATGGGGATGTGGTGGAAAGAACCTGCATCTACATATACTACTTGTGGGATGTTGTCTGGTCAACATCCTATAGAAAACAGTGTTAAAGGTACTCAATAAACTCATAATTAAACTACCATATGACCTAGTAACTCCTCTTTTGGGTATCTATCACCAGAATAGAAAAACACTCATCAAAAGACCCTATGCATACCATCCTTCATTACAGCACTGAGTTTAATAGCTAAGATTTGGAATCTACCTAGATGTCCAATGACAGATAAGTAGATCATGAATATGTGGTACATATTCAAAATGGAATAATACATGCCTGTAAAGAATGATGAAATCATGCAATTTGAAGCAGCAACATGGAGAAACTGGAAGACATCATGCTAAGTGAAGTAAGTCAGAAGAAAGATAAACATGGAATGATATAACTGATGTGGTATTTAGAATAACTGAATAAGGAATGCAATGTTTAAAGTGATGGGGAAATGCCCAGATTAATCTTGGACACAGAGTATAGGAAGGAGATGGAAAGAAAGAGTGGTAGGGATGGGGGTGGGAGAGACAGATGAGAAACAATGGGGGCCAGGCCAGGGGGATTCAGGTACAAAGGTAGTATCAAGAAATGACATAATTTTTAGAAAACAATATGGACATTGCTCCAAAAACTAGAAATTGAGCTTCCATATGACTCAGTAATACCACTCCTGGGAATATATCCTGGAGATGCAAAAAAAAGCACAGCAGAAATGACATCTGCCCTTGTATGTTTATTTCATCACTGTTCACAATAGCCAGAATCTGGAAAAAACCCGAGTGCTCCAGAACAGATGACTACTTAAAGAAACTCTGGATTATCTACACAGTGGGATACTATGGAGCTGTTAGAAGAGATGAATTAATGAAATTTGCATATAAGTGGATGGACATGGAGAGTATCGTGCTAAGTGAAATTAGTCAGAAAGAGAGGGAGAGACATAGAATGATTGCACTCATTTGTGGAATATAAAATAGCATAACATGAGACTAACACCTAAGGACAGTAGAGATAAGAGCCAGGGGCATCATGCCATAGTTTGGAAGTTGGCCCCATGTGCTGGGGGGAAAGGCAGTTGGAATGGAAAAGGAAGAACTAAGTAAATGATGATTGGAGGGATCATCCGGGATGAAAGATGTGTGCTGAAAGTAGACCCAGGACCAAACATATGGCCTCTTAGTATCTCTATTGCAAATCATAATTTCTCTAATTTCTCAACCAAATCAGAGAAATAGTAAGAAGAATTGTACCTCCCACAGAGGCAGGAAGTGGTATGGGGTAGGGGTGGTGGGTGGGACACTGGGAACAATGGTAGTGGAAAATGTGCACTGGTGAAGGAATGGGTGCTCGAGCATTGTATGACTGAAATGTAATCATGCAAGTTTGTAACTGTATCTCACGGTAACCCAATAAAACTTAAAAAAAAGAAATGACAGAGTCAAGATCCAAACCACAGAGTTAACAACACTTATAATCAAGAGACCCAAACTTTAATACCCAAACATAGAAAAGTGCCTATTAAGAGGG